AATCCGAAACAGGGATAATTAAAGGGATGATTTGTGCGGGAGCCTATTGTCAGAGCGTCCGAGAGGCATTGCTCCAGTGAGCTGCATAAGAAACTAGGGAGTTCGGGAATTCCGGGAGGAATATGTAACGGTTAGTGTTCTCAGTTCAGATTTCCGCTCGGAGTTCGTCGTCGTCTCCTGTTTCGTATATACTGCCGACACAACGCGGACAGGCCGCTATGATAATTGGAGGAATGTATAATAGTTGCTGCCTGATATACCCTTGGACACATATTGTACGTAAGAGTAGTCCGTTGAAATGAAATACATATGAAGAGAACGTGAGTGAACGAAGAACTCCGATAAATGGTGTGAGCTTTCAGCGAGGACAAATGAAGTACTGTCCACTTTCTGCGACCTACTTCACGATGATGGTGAACTCAGAAGGCTGAGTGACGGAGAGGCTAGTCTCGGTAAATAGGCTTTCACTCTTTCAATAGAGGCAGGTAAATGGCTTTGTAACGTCTTCACCCACTGTATCCTTCATAACAAGAGCTCGATCTGTATAAAAAGTCCTGTAGCGTAATTATTGTGTATCATCTCTCGGATGCTCAAGGAAGATATCTCTATGATTTCAAGGATGCCGTTCGCTACCCGTATGATTCATTGCGGACCTCTTCAACGAGAGAACTCAACGATGGAAAGCACGACTGAAACAAGAAAATCTCTAACGAAGAAAAACCAAACAAAACTTATAAACTCAAAATTCAACTGAAGTAACATTTATTGAAACGTCCAATCTCTCATAAGTTGCGAGTCATCAGTGACATCCACCGTGACAGAAATCATTCTCAAGTTTTGTCTGCGAGTCACTTGATGTGAAGTATTGAATTTCTGTATGTTTTCCTCAATAATATTCCGTAAGTTTGCTCTCAACTTCATAACAAAATATACTTATTAATTATAAATTCTCATATAATATATATATATTTATATAATATACGCCCGGAGTTTTAAGCCGTCTTCTATGAGCATCACCAGGACGGAAACTTCGCGGCCGTAATCATCGGCGTTTTCATCCAGATCATACTTCTCACTTCATTGTGATCTGATCATCGGTCTTCCGTGACATGTTACTACCTAAAAGTGTGTCTTAGAAAAATAATATTTTTCTTCTTCGTAACAAATTCTCGCTGATCATCTCCGACCCGAGCCCAGGCGTGATCTCACGCGAGCTCGGATCGGGCAGGTTCCACTAGTGTACAAAGAAATGTAGTCGAATCATTCGCCTCAATCTCGCAGAACCCGTCATTCGCGATACCGGGCGGGTCAATCGAGCCCAATACGAGTATAAGTCCTCGTGTTTGCGTGTTATTTGAGCGGTTCCGAAGTAGTCATTCATTTGAAAGAGAGGTCTGTTCGGATCTCATCTTGAACTGTTTCGTTTGTGAGTACGATATTTCTGCCACTGTCGGTTTTGGTTCATGTCGGATTTGTCGAAAATAATCGATTTTATTTCTAGCTGTCGTCCGGATCAGAGGTAAAAATTTGAAAACCAAGCAATGAATTTCATCCGCTCAGAGTAACGTCTGGTAGCCTCGGGACATCTTAAAGTCTCCGGTACATAGAGGACGAACTCGGAGTTTCGGAACTTCAAAGATTCGAGCTTCACGCCTGCTTGAGCTCCGGAACCGAAAAAATCCTTCTGAGTCCTTGACGAGTCACGGCTTCAAATTTATCCGGAGAGGGGGCCTCGTTCGAATGCAAAATCATGGTCAGTTCAATCGATGGATCTACTGCTCGTGACTGAGATTCCTCTCATTTCGATCAGGAGTTTCGTACGTGAAGATATCGTATTTATTTAATTCGACAAGATGGGAAATAAAAAGGGTATAGTATGCTCTCTTTGGATCGTGGGATGTGTGGTGGTAGTGGGATCGTGTGGTTGATGTCGGGTGCTTTTTCCACGGACGGGTGCCCGTCTCGATTTGTACAGGGGGTGAAGGTGCCGGGTCGGCATTTTGCTTTGTACAGAAGACATGGAGAAATATAACAGTAAAGGGAGACTGTGGATCGATATTCTGACGATGCAAGCAGAAGCGTGCACCTCAACACCATATCGGTTCGTCGGGAAAAGGAGGCTCGAATGGTGAGTTCGGTCTCGGAGGTAATTTTCGTGATGAATGGATATCGGCAAAACGCGGAGCGTATCGCGAAGCAACGCTCCGATGATTCGAATTCTCAAATGGAAAATACGAATTCAGTGGTCTCCGACCGTGGCACCGGACCGACCGAGTGCTCCAGTCCGAAGGGAGCACGTTCTGCTAGATACTACTCGCAGATACTTCTTTCTGCGCAGTGTACTTCTCGGAGCGTATATCCTCAGTAGTCAACAATTGTGGGATCGAGCACCGCTCAAGCCATCCAACGAGCCTCCACCCTCATTAACAAACGAACGAATCGTGGACGTTGGGCGTCGAAATTTCATCGCAACAGGCCTTCATCCTGTGTCACAATGTGGGTTCAAGAAATGGTTGTTGTTGTTGTTTTTGTTGATGGTTTAATCGATGTGGTTCTCTGTTGTTCCGTTGTTGTTTCTGATGCTCAGCGCATGTCGTACAGCATGAAGAACATGTCGTGGTGGTATGCGAATAGTTCTTGACGGGGAAATTCAGGAGGAATTGAATCGAACCAAGCGTTTCATCCGAGTTCGTTCGAAAAACCAAGGGACTCATCGAAAATTATAAATCATCGTTTTCATCTCTATCAATTGTTCGCCTTTCTCTCTCTTTCATACATAGGTTCTCATCAACTGGCTGCGTAAGGCAGTGGATTATTGTGGATCGTATATGGAAACGATAGAAAAACTAACGACACTGGTGGTAAGGTTCGATAGAACCAAACCGTAAAATCATAATCACCGCACTCAAAAAAATACAAGTGAGGAAAAGATTCGCTATTCCAGCAATATCATAAGGACAGGAGTCGAATCGAAGTCAAAGTGGTCGGGTCGATCTCTATGTGTGCAACATTTTCGAAATCGACCGAGAGTTGTTGTTGTTACCTTGTTGCTCTTCAAAAACTTCTTCTCGTTTCGTCTTTGTAACTGTGAATCATTCAACTAGTTGGTGAAGTCAACGCTTGTTCAGCTGACGGTACGAATATGGCCGTGGATGGTGTTCACGCGCTATTGATGTCGATGATGTCAAGTGGCCGTCTTTCCAGTAATTACTATCTCTACCGATGTTGGATCGAATCAAAAAAGTCAAGCAAATTCCAGCATTATCAAGCGTCCATCGGATGGCCGAGTTATAAAGGGTTTCGCTATCACATCTCTGGATCTAAATTTTTCTCTCCCCCTTCCCCTGCTCGACTGTGGTAAATTGTTTCGAGGATCGCGATAATTTCAGAAAAGCGAACTCTGGTTCAGCCCCAGCTGGAATGCTGTGCTATCTTTTCGTTCGAGCTCCGAGAGTATGCCTATTCGCGAGCTCCTGATGATTTCGGGATTGTGTTCCGAACCAACAGAAACCCTGGTTCGTTTCTCCTCAGACTCCCGGGAAACGAGTTCTCTCTGCGGAAGGGGAACTCAACGTGTCTGGCTACCGAGTAGCAAACAAACATACCAGAATCCATTTTCGAGAAAAAACGCGTTGTCGTTGTTCCTTGTTCGAAGAAACTCACGAGAAACCAAAGATATGAAATGGCTTTTTGGTCAGTAAATCACCCATCAATGAAGTTGATCTTCATGTATCGTCGTCAATGACGTCGTCGTCGTGATAGACGTCACGGTCGTTTTCGTCGGTTGAATATTCGTTACTGCTGTTATTGTGACTAGATTAGGCAGATCTGCTCGAAATCTCAGCCTCGTCTTCGCGGGAACCGATGAACGATTGCACGCTTAAATCTTCCGAGAATGCTTTTGTTTGCTCGAGTTTTCCAGAAATCGCTTCGACTTCAAACAAGAGATAAGACTGTGGTCTTTCCACGCTTTTAACGGAACAGGTGATCGCGGCCGCTTCCGGATACTTGGGACATTTCAGGAAACGTCTTGAGTGCGAAAGGACCGGTCATCCGATCGAATTTCCAGGATTCGGGTAACGTGCGCAGAGCAAGCGTTTTCACGCAGCTCCAACGTGTCGGGATAGGGAAACCATGTCTACGTGATTCTACGTGGGTGAATCAAAATCAAAAATGTTCTTATCTCTTGTTGATATGCTGCTGGCGACGATCGACTCTTCGATAGTTTCTCGCTCTGAAGATCGTCGGATTCCAGTAGAACTCGTTGTCGGGATCGATGGATCGATGAATGATGGAAGTCAAGCTTGACGCAGTCTTTCAGGAAACTCACTGATGTTGTTTTTGTTTTTTTGTTGTTGTTGTTGTTGCTGCCACTGCTGCTGTTGTCATTGTTATTGTTGCTGTTCGATTCAATGTTGCTCTTGTTGTTGCGACTGATGATGTCGGTAACCTCCGCCGGGAACTCCTCCGTCGTTTATCGGGGCCGATGTAGTTGAGGCCGATGGACCGTCGTACTGAAGTCCGACGAAGTCCCTTACTACGACGCGTTCGACCACCGTTCGCCCGCCGATCTACGCGTTGGGAAGACACCACCTGGGTGGGGAGAACAGTTGCTGCTGTTGATGGATCGAATGCTGCTGTTGTTGTTGTTGTTGTTGAAGCTGCACCCCGCTAGCTGCAGGTCCCCCTGGCGGCCCATAGACTCCAACGACGTTCCCCGTTGACGCCACAATGCCCTGTGTGGACTGGAGCGTATTCCGGTTGCTGAGATCGAGACTTCCCAAACCGTTCAGAGAACCAGTCGTTGCCGCTATCGACGACGATGAAGTCATCGACGGCGCCGATAGGTTTGCGGAATTCATTCTCACTGCGGCTGTGGAAGCCGCCGCCGCCGTCGTCGACGTCGCGTGGCGTGAATTTTGGGAAGGTGTTGCAACTGTAAGCGGAAACGGGGAAACTGTCGAGGGAAAGCCCAAGAACCTCGGGGGGGTTCCTTGCGGTCAGTAATGATCAGGTGGGCCCATGTGGAGCGAACGGGCGAGTTCCGAATCCACGTTCTCGGGGGGGACTCCGACATTTGTTAGCAACGATTTGAGCACAGTCAGTTCCTGAAACGACACAGAGAGAAGCCACCAAGGGGAACTCAGTTAGAATCTTGTACACGCCGGATCCAATAAACTTTCGCATGCTGTTACTGTAGGAGGCTACGGAGAGCGGGACTTCCGTCCGATTATGTTCGTGCATGGGTTAGCTGTCGCAGTGACGAGGATAGGATCCCTCTACACTGCTCCCGATGCCGGGTTCACGCAGATCTTATGAGAGGTGACTACACTCGGTAATTCGTGAGAGACACAGATCGAAACCGTCCCAGTTTTCGGTGCGTTAGAAGGAGAGAAAACTTTGCCCTCCTACAATCAGTGTCGCCGTGAGCTGACGATCGTTGTCTGAATACGGGTTAGCCGAAGGATTGTCGGGGGTATCCCTTCTGATCCAGACATGCATTCAGACGCCGATCAGAAGACCGAGATTGGGCAACGAGAAGCCGAATCACAAGCGAGCCTTCCTAATGTTAATAGAGCAACTCGTTCTCGAAACGATGAAGACCACCGCATGCCACCCTCCGGAAGCTGTTCCACCGTACCTCGGTACATGATGATGGAGCAACGCTCGACGGACTAAGACTGGTTTCTACTATTGATAAGGAGATCAGACTCGACAGAAAGTAAAGGAATAAATCTATCTATCGCGGAGAAAGCTAGGAGCACACTTAAGCGAATCGTGCGTCGGACACGAGGAGAAAAGAGAGGGACAGGAGGAATTCTTAATCCAGTGCAAGGGATAAAGGAGCGATGACGCTTTCCGAGTAGTCTCGTGAGCGGTGAGCGTTCGAGGAGGTATTCTTACCTTGGTGAGCATCTCGACCTTCTTTCTGAGGCCTTCGTTCTCGCGGTTCAACTCTGTCACTTTTCGTTCGGTGTCTCTTGTCCTCTGCTTTGCTTTTTCTCTGCTTTTCCGCACTGCTATATTGTTACGTTCCCTCCGCCTTCGATATTCCTCCGAAGTCTTGTCAACGAACTTCTTTCCAGTCTTCTGCATTAGGTTCGGCTGCTTGATATGCGCCTTATGCGCGAGCACTTGCCCGGGGAGGCCGTTGTGGCCTGCGATGGCTCCGAGATGACCGTTCTGGAGCCCCCGATGCGGCTGGTTCAGATCGTGTGAAAAGATATTCACAGGAACAGTAGGCGACGGCCGTGGTACCTGAGCCTGGTGTACGGTGTGCGAGTGCATTTGGTTGTTTCCGGCAACGTTTCCAGGCAGCCCCATCTGGCCCGCCGAAGTTCCAGATAATGCGGGGAAGGCCGCCGCGAGCAGATTTCGCCCATAGGCGGCCTCCCTGTTATAGTCGTTCTGATCCAGTGGTTCCCGTTTGATCGGTACGGCTGGAGAAGGGCTATCGAATCGGTCCGGAGACCCACTAAGCCGTTCGGTATACTGGAGATTAACCAAATTGATGCGACCGTTCCGCTGTTGCTGTTCAGTGAGCAAATCAGTGAATAGAATGTCCGATTCTCCTAAATTCGATCCCTGTGAACTTTCCGATGATTGCGAGCTTCCGAGAGACGATGCGAGTGACGCTCCTGACAAACCGTTATTCTGGGCAGCTATGAAGTTGCCTAGATCAAAGCTGCCTAGGTCTGACAGGTCCGGAACGACGCAGCCGTCCCCGAAGTCGAAGTGGTTCAGACTGCCTGAGCTCGGCACCCTGGCTGTTGTGGGGCTACTGTTAGCCGAAGTAGGGGATGAACTGGAACAGCGTTGGCCACCGGCAAACAGTGAATTGTTTGCGCCACCTGCGGCAGCCTGCTGCTGCTGCTGTTGTTGTTGTTGCTGCTGCTGCTGGTGTTGCTGCTGCTGTTGCACTTGTTGTCGTTGCTTAGGGTCTTCACCGCCGCCTCCACCGTTCACGCCTTCATATATTTGTCTGTCTGGCGAGTCCATATCGGAGCATGTTGCGGAGCAGCGCTCTCTATCCGTGGGACTTATTTTGGCGGTTCACAGGGTCGCTCTACGGGGAAATCGGCACTGCCAACTACTGCTGCCGCCGCCGCTGCTGCTGGTGCCGAGGCTGGCAGATGGATCGAAGAAGGAGCAACTCGGAGTTCTAATCGAATCACTGATTGGCTGACTGAGAGCTGAGCCACGATAAGGAGCGACGAATCTTCTAGATGTCGTCGTCCAGCCTATGGCTCTCGATATGGCCCCAAACACGCAGCCGCGAGCTTTGCAGAAGCGCGGGATAGAAGTTTTTCGTTCAGGAGGAACACAAGGCTTGCTTACCCGTCGTTGACGGAGGAGGGTTGAGTCGTTCTGTACAGATGTCGTCTCGGGCCGGCGGTAATTCTTGAGATACTGCCACCGCCGCCGTTGCTGCTGTCGTTGTTGTTGTTGTCGTCGGTGATGCTGATAACGCGTGAGACTGAGAGATGGATCGGTCCGGGAGCGATCGATTCACTGATTGATTGACTGGCCGACCGACTGATCACGAGATCGTTCGATGGCTTGCTACCGGTTTGCGGTGGTAAATATCGCTCTCCCGGCGCTGTCGATGAACTTCAAGCAAGCGAACGAGCGGGCGTGCGAGCGAGTTGTCGACTCCGATGATGACAAGCTACTCTATGCCCCTATGAGATAACAGACGTCAATCGTTGCAGTCCTCCCGACAAGTTGCCACTCACAAACAGAACTAACAGTGAAATAGATGGAACTTTTCGAAGGTTAATCCCATTGCACCGTGCACAGTTCACTGGCTAACGCACAGCACAGTGTTCTCTCCGCCGGGGTCGAAACACTAAAAGCCACCGGCCGCTGATGTAACTGTCGTCAGATGTTGTCGGATGCGCTGGGCAGAGTGATTGATTGCTTGATCGATGGATCGACCTGTTGATCGATGTTTCTAGGCGATGGAGTTCGATGGCTTGATGCTGGCGGTTTCCAACAGGAGTCCTCCGGAGATGGTAGCCGGAAGACTCTGTGTCGAGAAACGGTGATGGTTGACTCGGTATCCACACACAGTCTCTCTGATATTCGCTCGTTCGGATGGCTACCGCTAGAACTTGTTATCGAAGTACCGATGGTCCTCTGTTGTTGTTGTCGTTGTTGGTGGGTCTCTAAAAGCTGAAGCTGGAAACGATGTCGACGTTGTTGGACTAACGTCAACACGTTTGTTGTTGATGTCGATGCGATTGCGGTTGTTGTTGTTGTTGTCGTCGTTGTTGATGTTGTTGTCGATGTTGGTGCACGCACTACCTCCTAGCCTGACGATGTCTCAACACAGAATGGGCAACGGTACCACCGCTGCGGCGGGAACTGCGAAATTGCCGGCAGGCCGCGAAACCCTCGCTAACTAGTAACATCGGTGAGAGAAGCGAACCGCCCATTGGCTAGAAGCCCTCAGCTCAGGCCGGATTGGACCAGAAAGCTGTGACGTCGATCGGGGAAGGGACTCACGTGCGGCTGCTGCTGCTACCAAAGTCGAGGAATGGTTGCCCTCTCCGCGCGGATAGACCCTTCAGCTAGCCACCGCCGGCGCCGCTGCCGCCGCCATCGCCATCACTAACATCGGCAACCGCTTGCCTTACTGCTCTGTCGCCGTCAGATAGAAATTACAACAATTCGTTGTCAGAACGGAGGAGGGTAACCTGGCCTCCGTTCCTGGAGCTCTATATCATATGGAGCGCATACTGCAGAGAGGAACAATTGTGCGTATGCTCGACGCTTTACGATTGCGTGTACGCTCCACGCGTGCATTCTGGTCGCCTCTCGCGCATACGACTGCACTGCGGACTGTCATGGGAAACCTGAGTCGTTTTCCTGGGTTTCCCTGTACGCGAGAAAGGAAAACCATTCCCGCCGGGGTGGGGTGCAAGCAGGAGGAAGGGCTCACTGCAGCTAGTTCCGGAGACGGGTAAGGGAGTCCTTCGACGGCAGACCTCCGGAAACGAGAGAGCGGTGGTGGGGTGGTGGCGCTGATGATGATGGTGGCGGTACGTTGTCGGCGGAATACGCCGAACCGTCTTTTTCTGCTTCCTAAACATATGGGGGTTCGGTGGGTGAGATTAGCTCCCATCTCTATTCTGGAAATGAAGAATGCGGAGCGTCCTATTGATTCGACGAATTATTCAGGATGCCTGACAGTGCTCCATCGGGTGGAGGAAAATAATCTCTGAGAGTCAAGATGAGGGAAACCGAATGATCCCCTCCCAGAGGAGACGAGAGCTCATTTCGATGCTTTGAATATCATATTCGGAGACTTCCAAGCGGCCCCAATCACCAATGAGTGGCAATCGAGCGTGACTGCGTCGCATCACGAGGTTCAGAACCCGGGGGCGCGAGGCCTCAGGTGACTGGATGGTTCTTCGCGAGCGATATGCCCCCGTCTGATGGAAGCGAGCATCGTTTGGAGTAGAGTGGGCTGACTTGGGCCTTATACGGGAATGAATGAAGTTTGTTGTCGGGTCGAGAGCATTGTTAAAAGGAGAAAAAAAATCTTATTCTGAATGCGGTGACAGAGCGAGAGCACTCTCTGCCGACACAATGCCGATGTAATCAAAGTTCGCCCCTGGGGCTCTTTGTAGGTACGATGGAAGATCAAATCGACTGGGATCAACAAATTCTGGCACGAGTCCACCGAAATGACAGCGTATCCGATAATTGCGCGGAAAAACAGCGAGAATCAAATGCTTTTTCCGAGGCTTTTGCATTGGGATGCATCAGGAAATCGCTACCAGATAGCAAAATTTGTTCCGTGAAATGACGCTAATCGCGGGAGGATGGTCGAAGGTCGCAACAAGTTTTCGCCGAGAACTCGTGGCGGAGCTGAACACGTATGTCCGGTGTTGTCACTCCTGGTATCGCACAGAGCCGAAAGAATATCGGCCAGGAATACGCCTTCATCCCTCGCTCCGAAGATCCACAGCGCTGCTCGGACTGACATGAGCTCGGATTTCTGCTCAGCTCGCGAGTAATTGTCCCGCACCAGCGTACATCTAAGAACATCATCCTTGTGAGATCAAACGCACTCTCCCCGCCGCGTTACCGGGCAGAGTTAAGGAACATGCGGGAAGTAAGTCGCCTCCGTTCTGCTATTCAATTTCTCCGATTCCCCGATCCTCGCATACCCTGTCAGAAGCGACGCAGCGTGAACTTCACTCTCTTGCAAGTCGGTTGATCCCCTCACGGCAAGCGCTTCGAGATATGTTCCCATCCGCGTCATGACATCGAACAGGAAGGGTGTCCTCCCAAACATTCAGTCGGGAGTATTAAGCCCCCCCCCCCACCGCTCGGTCTAAGAGGATCCCAGTCGGCAAAAAATCAACATCATAAGCCGATTAATCGAGAACTCTCAGCGAAAATTACCGACTTCCAGTTTCAGATTTGATATGAAGTCGGAGATATGTCCGTGCTCTCGGCAAGATGATTGCGATGCTCTCCCTCGGTGCATAATTAAACCATGTCCATCCCGCCCCGCAATGAGATGCTTCTCCTTTATTAATTCTTTCCCCGCGAGCTCGAGACTCAAGACCAAGCTGAGTTCCTCTTATAAAATCTTCGCAATAACGGAACTGTAGGGAAGGCGCCGAAAGGGAGTCGCGATGTATGTCCGCATTGAGGACGTTCTGATACAATCCAGATAACGCGTAGCTCGTAATCGAAGCTGGCAAGTCGGCAGACGAAAACCTCAGCTTCCCTATATCTAGTATCGAAACTGTGAGAGGCAGCGTAGAAATATCGCGTGGGAGCAGGCGACCGATATTATGTGGCGATGGAGTATCCGTCTTTGAGTTATTTCTCATCTCTGGCAGTACCAGGTATTCACCGGTATCTCCGAAGATCAGATCCGGCTACACGTTTCCAATATCAGAGTGGGTGAAACTTAATAATTCACGAGATCGATCGCAAGAAGCGGGAATTAAATCAGATAGATGACCGAAAAAGAGAGCGGAAGAAAACCCTTCGATCCTCCCAAAAAACGATTCAGCAGAGGAAGACTCCAATGACGTATTAAAAAGAACCTTCGAGCAGTTTAAGCCGCTTCGAGATCTGTTCGAACGGTCCTCCAGGTCTCATTGACCCTGAGCTTGGCTGACGTTGGAAGCATTCGCTCTTCCCGCCATTCGCGAACCGTCATCTGCCGTATCCGGATCCATCCCGAACGCCGGCCACCTCGACAGGATGGAGCGGTTCCAGAGGAGGGAGCAGACTGGCGAGAAAATGATTGAAAGGGAAAAAAGGAGGAATGCGCGAGAAAAATCAATTTGCAAATTATAATGCCAGAAAGTTCCCTCTTGGAAGACTGAGATCGATGATAGATACGCAATACTTCGTCCTGCGCCCCGGGAAGGGTTAACGAGGAACGGATATTGATCGGAACCATCGCAAAACTTGAGACCCTCGGCTGAGCGGCCGACCAGAACTCCCGCTGGCCCTATCGCGGATAAAGCGGCAAAGCCGCCGCCGCCTCCTCGTCCTCTTCATGGCATGCCTGCATGTGTCTGTCTGGTCCGCTCTCAGACGTTGTCGGGCGGCTCTGAAATGCGAAAACTCGGGAGTGATCCTCTCGGGGATGCGCGAAGCTGGCCGCGATCCTTAGCGAATACTATGTTTACGCGTAATTCGAAGTAATAGGCTATTGAAAAACTCCATGGAATGTCTAGGCTTCATCGGGCGAGGTTGCCGTCTGGGATCTTTCTGCCGGAAAATTCCGACCAAGGACACTGTTTTAACGACTTCGGAGGCTCACGGTACTTTCCTTCCCCATCGCCGAGGAGATTTTGACGATTTTCAATGCATCTTTATATTCCCGACAGAAATTGGAGTACGTTGTTCTCATGAAGCGATAACCAGAGGAACCAATCTCGGAGGAGCGTCCAAACAATGTCCTTTCGTTGAGAGAGCTCTCGGCCGAGGTTGGGGGTTTCTTCAATCCGACCCGACGCAGT